GGTGTTGTTAGGTATTTCTGGCTATCTGAAATATAAATCTAAAGGATCAGGGACCAAAAGGAAGACACAGATCAGTAACCTAAACAAACTAGTACTCTACTAGTTAACCAGTTAACTACAGCAAGTACTCTCAGGAAAATAAAACATGTCAGTAACTACAGCCCACCAATACTTATAAGCAAGATGCAGAGACAGCTGAGAATGTAAGAGAACTCGACTACACCAGAATTTTCTTTGGGGGCAGGAGTCAGGACAGCAACAGGTGGGTCAAATCAGATAGCAAGAGCTCCTGGGTCCCAACTCAGTACAGCTAGTGCCGCCTAGAGGTCAACAAACAAACTGCAAAGGTGGAACCCCAACCCTGGGCTAATCTGCTCAAGCTTGGCTCCCAAGACCATCATGCCCTGGAAAGGTTAAGGCCTGGAAGGCAGAACTACTCACTTCTACCAGATGGTTGTCTGGTCCATAGAGGTCTTTGTCCAGTTCAATCACCAAGGACTTAAAAAAGGAAGAGAACTTTCTCTTTTGCTTGGTGGCATCATATTTGGACAAGGCTGACTAGAAAAGAGATTGGGGGTGGGAGGGTGTTATGTTACACAAGGCTAGAAAGACGTCCCCAGGAAAAAGTTCCTTAAGAAGCAATTTCTAACTCCAATGGAGAAAACCCTTGAGATATCTTCTGATTCTGGCCAGGTGGCCACTCAGTCAGTCAGTCCTGGCCACAGCAGTTCTACAACAAGGGCAGGGTCTCTGACTTCCCACTGGGAAAGGAGGCAAGCTAAGCCAAACCGTTAACATAACAAAGCACACTGGAACAGAGAAAAGCCTGACAGCAGAGGGCAAATGAATCACAGGCAAAGGCAGGGGAACAAAACCTGCCTTTATCTGGACAGAACACATGACCAGCAAATAGCCTGGACTACCCAAAGGAGGCTCTGGTTCTCCAGCAAAAGTGTACTCCAACAAGCTCACTCGCACACAGTTAAACAGTACCAGAGTGCAGAGCACTAAGTGAACATGGAGCCTCCCCGCAACGGGCCGCTGGGTGGAAAGTTTGGGGGTGCTCATTAGTCTGATGTTTCCCTCGGAGCAAGCCTTCGGGGTACCATCATAAGCAAACTATGGTAGCTCTAACGAAAGCTGGGAAGACAGAAATGACCTCAAGGACCTAGGGGAGGAAGCACAGCCTCAGAGCTAAGCACAGATGGGTGGTGGGACGAGTGACGGCTGAAACCATCCACTGATGCTGCCAAATCCAAAGGGCAGCGTCACCAGAGCAAAGTAAACAACAAACCGGACCCCAGCACAATAAGGGTCTCCACTTGATACCAGAGAAGCTGTGGGAGTAGACACAAAGGACCTTTGTCTTCCTAGGCAGGGAACACAGCACCCCCAACCCCCTTGCGGAAGCTCCCAGCAGGAGTGGTGAACACCAGTCAGGTTTCCTGCTGACCACACAACACCGCTCCTTCCCAGGGGCTCCCACCCTGAGCTCCAACCACAGTGGACCTTGAACTCACGTCCTCCAGGAGCCGGCCTTCTACCCGGAGCTCCCAGGAAGCCACCGTCCCTTCCCCATCCTCGGCATCCGACTTGGCCGGATTGAACGTGTTAGAAATGAAAATTCGCAGCTTCCGTTTTTGCTGAGGAAGGCAGAAACAGGACTGATGGTGGGGCTTCAGTAGTAAAGAGTCCCTAAAACTCCCGAATGTCTCCTCACAGGCTGGCTTACTACAGGGGGTAAAGACTCCACTGACAAGTGTACAGGCCCTGACCTGAGCCTGAGTGTAAGTAAATGCACCAGGGGACCAGGGAGACAAAATCAGGCCAAGTGGCAGGTTCCCGAGGTAGCAAGCAGTTATAGAAAAACACGGGCAGGGTATATTTCTGGTGCTACAGCGGTGGAAAGCTCCCCCGCCCCCCTCCCTGGCAGCTGTTCTACTCCTATGCTCCTAATGTAATTCCTGGTTTGTAGGCAGAAGAGAAGATGCAATTTAAATGCCAAGGAGAGCTGTGCTATGCCTTTGGTTTTTCATCCTAAGCCCGGTGACGGTGATGGTTTCTGGGTCCCCTCCCTTCAACCTCCCTGCCTGGTGCTTTCCGGTTACCTTGATGGGACGTTTCAAGGCCTCCTGGATATCTAGTCGTTTCCTCATAATAGTCTGGTCCAGTTTCCTTTCAAAAGCCAGGAGATCCATGTAGGCCTGTGATTCTGGTACCAACTCCCGAATCTTAGGAACAGAAAGATAGGATTGGGCCCTAGAGCTGACACCTCTATTTGCAAAGTCACTATCCCTTCAGGAGGACCTCTCTAGCCGCACTCACCCTCTGAGGTAGGATTTTATCAGCCATCTTCTTTTTCTTTGCACTGTTCAGAATAAATACTGTCATCAGGTTGGGATAGGAACTAGCCAGAACACGAGCAATGTTGTGAACACCTTCGTGGAGGGTACTGCTTAGGCCTACGGAATGACTCTCCATTTAAAGACTCTCCCACTCCCATCACCACCAAAACTCCCACTTGGGGCCAGAGAGCCTTCAAGAGGGTGAGTGCCTGTAGCACTGTTTGGTGCTGCAGAGCTGACTTCCTGGTTCAGTATCCACCCCCCCCCCCCACTACCAGCAACCTCACAGGCCTCCTCCCATCCCCTTCTTTCCTTCACCCCAGGGGTCATCTTACTTGTGATTTCGATTTTGGACTGCCTGCTGCTGGACCTGCTGGATCTGTTGAGGCGCAGGTCTCTTGCGGGACTGGTCCATCCCTGACTGGGCCAGGCCAGGTCGGACTGAAGGGTTCCCCCCATAGCCAGGAGGTCCCATGGAAGGTCCCTGAGGTGTCATTCGGCTACCTGGCAACATACCTGGTCTCTACAGAAGGGAGAGGACCCAGAGATGTCATACTTTCCTTGCTAGCCCCACCAAGAAAGGGAAAGTGGTGGAAGCCTGGATTTTAGGAATGGGATCGGGGCGGGGGTAGGGGGGTAGGGTGGAGGACAACAAGACAGCCCTTTGCTTCTCTGAAATATGGTAACTGGACCTTCTTCAGGCCTACTAGTGAGTTCATAGAATATAGTCTAAAAACTAGATTATACTCAATTTTTCTGGTCTATGCTGGATCTGACTCATCAGACATCTCTAGTCCTACTTTTTTTTTTTTTAAACTAGCTACTGTCTCCTTTAAAGCTGACCTCAATTTGCAGCAATAGCCTGGGTATTCCCGGGGACACTGGGGCTGCCCATTTCCCTCTGCATTCCACGACCATCCCAGGGCCCACTTCACCCACCCTGGCTGCACACTCACTCCTCACACGGAAACAATGCCGCTGGGAGCAGGTAAGGATGCTAACCTCCTCCCCCCCACTCTTCCTCTGCTCGGCTTCCCCCACCTCCACCCAGGACCCGAGCCCCTCCCTTGGGAGTCCCTCCCACTTCTCCCTCTCCCCTGTCAGTCCTCCGCCCTCGCTCGGCCCCGCCCCCGGCCCGCGCGCCCCTCCTCCTGTCCCACTCACCGGATAGGCCGCCCCGGGCATCGGAGAGCGGTACAGCCCTTGACCCGGCGCCGGGCCCATTCGCACGGGAGGCCCGGGAGTTCCGCCCGGGCCCAGAGCAGCCGCCACGCCCGCTCCTCCTGAGGCTCCCGCGCCGCCGCTCGGAGCCACAGACTGGAAACCCGCCCGGGCCGCCATCTTCCCGGAGCCGCCGCTGCAGCTGCACAAAGAACCGGAACCGGAACTCCCCCCGCCCCCCGCGCGCCCCCCGAGCGCCTGGGCTGTTTGTGGGCCCGGCCCGCCAGCGGGCACGGGCGGCTCGGGGCAGCGAGACTACGGGCTAGAGGGGGCGACTAGCGGGAAAGGCGTGCTGACCACTCCCTCCCGCCTTCGCGGGCCAGGAGGGAGCACCATAGAGAAGCGGTGTGCGGATAAAGAGGTGCCAGGAGCGAGCGCCCCCAGGCGGTTGGAGGACGACAAGGCTTTGCAAAGAACCCAGCCCAACTCGCTGGCGGCTAGAGTGATGCTTCTTCACCTCGGCCCAGTGCATTTACCTCTCCAAAGCATTCCGGTTGCTTTGCTTTTCGTTCTCCTACTGCTCAGACTCCGAGTACTAAAGAGGGAAATGTGCTGTTTGTTCGTTTTACAAACAGAAAAGCTGAACTCAAAGGAGGTGAATGTCGTGGCAAAGACAAATCAACAAGTTAAGAGAAAAGCCATCCTGGATTCGGGTCTCCTAGCTGGTAGCCAGGGCCTCATTTTACAAATAACGGTTCAACAGCTTCCCGGCGTGGGAACTTAACCTTTCACCTCAGACCTTTAACTTCAAATTGTAATGAATTTTTTTTTTTTACCTTGAATCTTCTCCAAAGAGTCCTGGATATTTGTTGCCTTAGATTACTTTGCTGGTCCACTGCCCAGTGTTCAGACGATTCCTGAACCTGTCCTTTTCCAGAAGGATCACTGTTTACCTGATCAAGTATGGAGGGTCTTGAGTAGCCCAGTCTAGCTTTAAACTCACTGTGTAATGGGAGATAGCTGCTCCATCTCCTACCTGCTGGAATTACAGGTATAACCACTACATCAGGCTAACACTCAAATTTCCTTACTCTAGTTGTGTGGCCCTCAAGGCAAGCTCCATTCTAAAGGTAACACCCATAGAGTTTGCAACTAAAACCAACACTGAAGCCAGGCATGTCTTTAATCCCAGCACTTGGGAGGCAGAGGCAGGCGGATTTCTGAGTTCGAGGCCAGCCTGGTCTACAGAGTGAGTTCCAGGACAGCCAAGGCTACACAGAGAAACCTTGTCTCAAAAAACCAAAACCAACCAACCAACCAAACAAAAAAACACTGAGCAGGGCAGTGGCAGCTCGGGCCTTTAATCCCAGTGTTTGGGAGGCAGGAAGATCTCTGTGAGTTTGAAGCCAGCCTGGTCTACACAGATGTTCCAGGACGGCCAGGGCCACACAGAGAAACCCTGTCAAATAAAACAAGCACACAGAAAACCAACACTGAAGAGATGGTTGAGACCCAGTTTATTAGACCAGAGGCATGCGTCACCCAGAGCCCCTCCTGCTGGCCCCCAGCCAGTGCATGTTTCTCTGCTTTGCTCTGTTTCCTTCTGGGGAGTTCTGATCTCTAAACAACTCTTGGGAACCAAGAGGTCTCAAAGATTCTATAGCCTCACTCTCTGGCTCCAGGCCAACGCACACAGGTGATCTGCCCATAAGTCCTGTTTTGGAATTGGAAACCAAAAGACAGTGGGGACAGAGAAGGCCTGGAAAGGGAATGGGGCTCTGGCCTGGGAAGGGTGCCTGGTGGGGGTGGGGAGTGCCTCTACCTCAACTGGTGGCCCCTTTCGGGAGAGACACACAGCAGCAGGGCTTTCAACTCCCTCTCTAGGCCTGTCTCTTTCCTCACATGACCAAGCCCTGACTCACCAGAAAATGCAAGTGGTGGGCCTAGTAATCAAGGTGAGGACAGGGCACTGGGCACCCCGAGGAAAGAAAGGCCACTGAATGAGGGCCTCAGCTTCTGGTTGTGGGTACCCACTGCCCAGCTGCAAGAGTGAGTCACCAGCTCCCCCAGTCTGTAACACTCTTGGCTTAGTTTCCAGCATAGCATAATGTCCTCCATTCCTGGGTAGGAGCTACCTCTGCAGCAATCCCTTCCCTGGGGAGGTCATAGTCAGCCAGGTGAACGGCACTGGGATAGGTGGGGCAAGGAGTAGGATGTGTTAAGGCTGTGGGGAGGGCAGAGGGTGCCCCGGTCATGGGGGCAAAGGGCGAGGCCAGAAAGAGGCAGAGCTTGTAATTCACAGCTTCCTTTATGTCGCCACCGAGACAGTGCGAAGGTTACAATGCGCGTGTCATCTCCTTGTGCTTCTCAAAGGGATGTGTGTACACAGTACAGACACCAGGGGAGAATCCAACTCTTTATACAGGCAAAGGCATTCAGAGACAGGGGAGTGGGGGAGAGACAGAAGGGAGAACTTGGGGTGGGAGGGTGGTTCTCAGAGACAAGAGGGAATGGGGTGGAGACAGACAGGGTCGGAGGGGAAGTATATACAAGGTTATAGTAATATAGAGTCTGTATCATATAGAAATAGAAAATGCAGATGAGGTTGCCGAGAGAAGCGAGTGAAGTCGGGGAAGAGGACTTGGGATTGTTCCATAAGAAAATTTATGGATGTGGCCCTCTGCAAAGGCCTCTGAGAGAGAAGCCAGTGAGGTCAGGCGGCCGTGCCCCTGTCCCTGAGCTGGGAGCTAACCAGCCAGGTCTTCTAGGGGATGTCACAGAGGGCTGCCTCTTGGGATTTCTCTCCAGCAGCTTTGGGGTGGAGGTTACTTACAGATATTGGGGACGTGGCCTACAGCACCAGGGCCACACGTAGTCCCCATCTCTACTTCTTCAGGACATCCTCTGCCCCCTAAAGATTTCGTATGCTTGAGGGAGCAGAGCTGGGCATGGAGTCCTTACCTGGAGACTTGGGCTCATGGGGAGTCACCCGGCTGAGAGCGTCTCTTAAGGCTAGGGAAGCCCCCTCACCAGCCCTCTCCCTTAAGGTACATTCTCTGGTTTGGGGCCAAATTTCAGACCCTAGAGATCCCCTCCACCCCTCACTAGGAGGGGGCTTTGGTGACTGGAGGCAGCAGAATGTAGGCGGACACTCAGATGACAGACAGCCAGACAGACAGAATTCAGCCTTGGAGCTAGGGGAGGCAGCATGGAGCAGAGGGGCAGCCTGAGGTCGCGGCCGATCTCTCTCTCTCTTTCTCTTTATATTAGTTTAATTTCATTAAAATAAAAAGATGGGATAGAGGCTGGGAGAGGACTCTATGGTCAAGACTCCTTCCTCACCACAGACAAGAGGGAACCACTGCCCAGGAACGCAGTTAAGTCCCCAGGGTAGCTGGGGGCAGTTGGGGGCCCCTGGCTCCCCCAGCCCTCCCCACCTAGGCCTTTGGTACAGCGGCCTGCGAGGGCTTAGCAGGTAAAGTCCTCAAACGTGCCTCTTGCGGGATGGTGAGGTAGGATGTTGGCAGCGTACGTCATCCCGGCAGGATGTCCTCGGAGGCTCTCGCAGGGATTCTAACAGAAGGACATAAGACGGGAACAGGTTACAGAAAGGCATGCAGGTAAAAACGTGGCGTGGAGATGGGTTAATGTGAGGTTGTCGGGAAAGGGCACGCCGGAGGTCGCCTCCCTGCCTTGCTTCCTCACGTGTCTTTTGACGTCATCCAGGCTGAGCGCCACGCCCTTATCTGCGCTGCTCCTCTTAGCCTCCTTCTGGCACTTCCCACGTCTACACAGCCGGTGCTTAATGACCTGGGAGGGGTTTAGAGCACGGTGGGTAGACCAGAATCCCGAATGGTGTGGCCACGCCCAGCCCTGCCCCCTTACCTCCTTACCTCGTAGGCATAGTCAAAGAGTTCCAGTACTGTGAGGATGCTGGCCCCGATAAATAACCCCATCTGGCCCCCGATGTCACCTACAGGGTCAGGTCAGAGAGGTTAGTGGGCTCTGGACCAAGGGGCTCTGGGCTTAATAGGACTGAGGCAGGTCAGCCACGCTTGCAGAGATTGGTGCCCTGATACAGAAGGATCAGAAAGCCAGACTCTGGCAGGATTTTTATTCTCTATCCTTTTCTGTATTTTTCCTTCCTAAAACGAGTGTTTCTTATTCAAGAAAAATAAATTCTTTATAAAACACACTACTTTCTTAGTGTCTGGACCACTTTCAAGGACATACGGAGCAGTTTCTGCTTCTATCCCTCAACCCCTTCTCCGATGCCCGACTTTTCCACTTCATTCTAAGAGAAGGCCCAGTTCCTTTCGTCCACTTAATGCCACCCAAGAGGGCTCAGGGAAGGGCCCCTGGGGATGGGAGAGACTGAGAGCACCTAGTTTTAGATGGGAGGGAGCCATGTCATATCCTGGGCATAGGAGAAGGTTGGTCATTCACAAGCTCACCCAAGAGCCCTGCGATCTCATAGGCCTTTTTCTGCTCGATGGTCTCATAGTTGAGGACTTCAAAGAAAATGTCCAGCACCAGAATGTTCTCCCTGCACATGGGGAGGGGGAGAAGGAAAAAAAAGCTAGGTTCAAGTCCTATCTCTGTCCCTTACTAGACAGGTGATCTTAGTCGTGAGCTTCTCTGAGGCTGTTTCCGTATTCCTGAGATGCTGATGAAGAGTCCTGCCTTCTAGGGGCGCTGTGAGGATTAAATTAAATGGGATGCGTGAGAGAAGACGCTCTATATTCGAGCAAGTGGAGGCGATCCCAGTTACAGCAACGAGGACGGAGTTAGAGGATAAAAGAAGGAGAGGGGAGGAAAGTGCTAAGTTACTTATTCCAGCTTGATCTCCCCAACACACAACCCATGCTCTTCGGGTGCCTTAGGACCTTCTGTGACTTATCTCAACTTCATTGTGCCCAGAGACTCTCATTAGAGTCCACCTGTACCCTCTGCAGTCCTTGTACCAGGGCCCTGCCCCTCGTAGCAGACTCCTTACCCTATGTACTGTTCAGATTTGTTGAACTTCTTGGCCAGGTACTTGGCTGAGGCTTTGCTGGGGATCTTGACCATGGACAGCTCCTTGCCGTAGCGGGTCAGGTTGCAGGGCATCTCACACACGCAGTATTCCTGGTCTTTCTCCACTAGGAAGTCTGTGCCCATGTGAAAGGCACTAGTTGAGTGGTGTCCTTCTGCCAGTGCCTTCCCAATATGCACATACTAACCCTGGCCAAAAGACCCTAGGACCCTCTCTCATTTGCCTGGCCTGGGGTCTATCCTTAGCTCATCCTCACCCAGCCTTTCTGCCCTTGTATTTAATCTTATTCCCTCAGGGTTCTAAAAGACCAACTATCTGAGGCTGAAAGAGGGTGAAGACCCTCCCAAGAGATTCTTATGAATTCTCCACAGGGACCTTTGAAGGTGCAGTTCTCAGCATATAGAGGCAGATGCAGGTAGAAAGCACACAGCCATTGTCCAATCAAGTTCAACCTTGATCTCAGTGCCCTGAGCATGGGACAGACAGCATTTTCTTCCCTCCCCCTACCTGTCCCAGGTCAGAGATGCTCACCCAGGGCGGGATCTGCACACTCCTTGTACTGCTCTGGAGTGCAGTAGGGGGCATCTCCTATAAAGGAAAGAGGTCAGGAGGGCAGGAGATTAAAGGGATCTTGCAATGGTGTGGTATTGTGTAAGGAAGAAGCTGGAAGATGGGACAGTAGGATGAGCCATCCCTGGTGCCCCAGAAGTGACCTACTCTCCAGCCCACCCTTAAAAAACCCTCCCCTACTTCCTGTAGACACAGGCAGGATCCAAGAGACAAGAGCCAGAAACATAAATGAAATGACCAGGGACCAGGGTTAGGAAGGACAATACAGACAGGGCACAGGCGAGGGTTTGTGTAGCCTGAGATAGCCCAGGGCTGTGCTCGGAATCTTGGGGTCTGACCTGGCATGTGCACCATTCGGCAGTTGCAGTTTTCCACCAGGTAACGTGTCTCACAATCAATCCGGCAGGCAGTGATGCTGTAGGAGTCGAAGAAATCCGAGTCCATGGTAACAGCATTGCAGGTGCCCCAGGGTGAGGGCAGGTAGATGAGCTGCTGGGACAGCCGGGGAGCTGGGGACATGTGGGGGCTTCTCCCCAACTCCCCGAAATGGACCTCTCTGGCAAGATGCAGAACTCAGGGGTCTTACCCCTGGAGCTCTAAGATCTTAGACTTTACAGAGTGTTCCTCCCATTCTTGATCACCCACCACTGTGAGTGTGTGTGTGCATGTGTGTGTCATGTGTATGTGTCAAGTGTGTGTGTGTGCATGTGTTTGTGTCCCATGCATAGTCCAGAAGTAGATGTTGGATATGTTCCTCTATGTCTCTCTACTTATTGTTTTCCAGGGAGGATCTCTTACTGAATCTGGGGCAGCTCACTGGCCTGCTAGCTTCAGGAATTTATCTCTGCACCCCTCAGCCCAGAACTGGGGTTACAGCTGTGCACCACTCTGGTTTACATGGGTGTCGGGGTCTCACTTGAGATCCTCATGCTTGCATAATAAACACTCTACCCACTGAGCCATCTCCCCAGTCCCCAGAACTCCATCTTGACTCCCCAACACCCACTGCAGACCCTCACCCTCTGCTCCTGGCAAGACACAAATGTCTGGAAGCCTGGGGCCACGCCAAAGCCCAGCTGGTCGATAAAAGGAGGCTCGTCCTGACTGTGGATCTGCACTTTGATGCCTGCTTCGAAGGACGTCTCGTCTGTAAAGATGAAGGCATGAGAATTGGGAGGATTTCTGAGTCCTTAATCATCTCCAGAACCTGGGGTGTCACACCTCCCTGGTAATAAGCAGTCCCACTGGGACTTGGTAGAGGCAATGGGGTCCGACCACACCGCTATCCTCCCGTGTTAGCAGCTCCACGATGCTCCAGTGACTTCTGGATCCTACACACCTCTCTTACCTGATGTCTGCAATGTATCTTGCCGGTTCAGATTATTTATCCTGGACTGTCACTGTCTCTGCCCCTCTCCATCTCTCCTCATCCCTTTCTCTTTTCTCCCCATCTCTCTGCCCCCAAGTCCCCTGAGACCAGACAGCCAGGCAGTCCAAGAAGAGAGGGAGTTATTTATAGAGTGAGTGGCGGCCACTGATGGAAGACGATGCTTGGTTACCTTGGAGAGTAACTAAACCAGGAAGGAGGAGCCAGGGAATCTAGAGTGTGGAAGTCACATAGGGGCAAAGACAGACAGGGTGAGATCTTGGGAGAAGGGGGAAGAGTCTGAGTTTGGGCTTAGGACCACACAGTGGAGCCATAGTTGAGTCTGGGGCCAGGCAGGATGCTCCTAAGCAGGCTAACATACCAGTCTCTCCCCACACAGGCAAGTATTCATCTTGCTGAATATCCAGCATGATCTCCAAGCCGTTGCCAGTCCCACCTTTCATGGTCTTCAGCCGTGGCCGCCCATCTTGGCCCGAGTTGAAAGTGTAACACTTTCCATACCTCGTAAAGACCTGGTAGAGGGCAGAGTAGAGAGCGTGAGAGTTCTGCCAGCCAGATGGGCTTCTGGTTGGGTTTAACCACTGAAAACCACAAAGGATCGGACACAGGCAGACAGATAGCGGCGTACTGATCCCCTCTTCCTCTAACACCGCAGTCAGTGGCTTAGCCCCTTAGGATTGTAACATTGTAACTCTTGTCGGGAGGACTCCCTTTGTGCTCCTTCAGCCTAGGAGTGATAACAATTTCCCACTAAGGCTAGCTCCATTGCCCTCCCTTACTGGCTTCCTTAATCCTGCACATGGCTTTGCAAATAGCCCCTTTGTTAAAGTCTTTTCGACTGAACTATCAAGGGACAATCTTTTTCTTGCTAGGACCCTAAGGTGCACCGCTGTCACCATGATCCTATAACTGCTAAACCTCTGAGGCCTTCTGAAACAGATCTTTAGATCTTTGCTTTGGGATTTCACCCGAGTTAGAAATCCTTCCAAGACTTTCCTCCACACCTAAGCCCCTCAAAGCTAAGCCTTTCAGTCTCTTCCCTCTCTCAGCCTCTCGTGTCCACCATTGTTCCATTATCAGTAGAACCTGAGAGCAGCCCCAGTCGACACGCCAGGAACCAAACTTATTCCAGCATATCAACTCTTCTCCCAGGAATCAGGACTGAATACCAAGGTATAGCATGTTTGGGTGCCCTTAGAGCTCAGAGACCTCAAGGGAGATATGTTCCTCATCAGAAGATACTGTATCTTCTGCCCTCACAGAGGCCCAGTGGCCAAAACACTAGCTTACAATCACTTCAGGGACTGGGATGACACCCATGTACTCCTACCTGGTAGGCATAGAGTGGTGGGTATGGAAGAGAAAGGCCAGGCATCTGAAATCTACATGGGCTAGAGGGGCATCAGGCCAGACCGGACTACAAGCCAATCTGGGGGGATGGTGGGGTGGCAGCTGGCTTCGTATCTAGAAAGTCCCTTCACCTCTGAGTGGGGGAAGCAATGGGGAAAGGTGATATTTTCCAGTGACTTAGAGGTTTCCCAACTTCACTAACAGATGGATCTCTCTCTCTCTCTCTCTCTCTCTCTCTCTCTCTCTCTCTCTCACACACACACACACACACACACACACGCACACACACACACACAGCTTGTAGCTGGTAGGGACTGGATTCCCATAAGAAAGAGCACAGGAAACAAAGTAAAGATACAATGAAGTCCTTGTTGTGAGCTGTTGACAAGGTGTGGGGGCTGCCCTCTCCACCTATGACCCAATTCTGCACTTCTAGAGAAATGGTGGCTCCTCCCCACAACTATCCCTCCAGGGATGATAGTCAACAAGGCCAGCCATAGGCAGCCCCCACCACGTCAAAGGTTGACCTCATAGCTAGAACAAGGTTCGGGGCCATGGAGAGGTCTGGAGGAGAGCAGATGAGGCTGGAGGAAATTCCAGGCATCCGAATAGAAGCTAATTACTGGTGACAACATAGTTCAAGACACAACTAGGGAGAGCTTTGCATCTGGGCGGGAGGGGCTCTTAACCTAGCTGCAGACTCTGGGACCCCAGGTGAGTTCTGGCCCAGGTTAGGTAGGGTTCAGCGATTATCAGCCCCAGCCTCAGGAGCTGATTTGATGGCCAGAAAGAGAGCCATGGTATATACTCTTGGGGTGTTGTGGTAAGCATGGGTCCCACTCACCACTGAGAAGTTGTGGGGACCACAGGGGCCCCCACAGTAGGAACAATAGAGCAGCATATCCTCCAGCCGGTGGCAAGAGCGGTTGTAGAAACGATGGAGATTAAAGGGCTCCCCGGAGAAAGCCTCTGGCCCAGGTGGAGCGAGGGGCACCCCAGGATCGTCACTTTCATCCAGCCCTAGCATAGGGGCCAGGTAGAGCAAGTCAGGGTAACTGAGCTGGGACAACCGCACAGCATTGGTGTTACAGAAGGTGACAGCTGGGAAGACCAGCTCTGTGGTGGCCACTTCATCTAGCAAAGTCACGTGCGGGTAGCTGAGGTAATAAGCAACTCGGTCCCCTACCTGGCACAGGAAGGCACCCAGTGCTATGACAAAGGCCACGGCCCACAGAGCTTGCCTTGGTCCTGGGCCCCCTTCCACAAAGACATGGCTGGCACCATGGAGGCTACAGCTGTTGGCGAAGGTCACCAAGTCCCTAGGTGAGTTACCCTTATCCAGCTCCATTCCTGCCTCTTTTTCCTTCTCTTCCTCTTCTTCCGATTCTGAGCTGTCCTGCTGCTGCCGGTGGTGGTGGGGACCCCAGATATCTCCCATGGATCCTGGGGCCTCCTCTCCAGAGGAAAATGACACAGAGCAAAAGATCTGAATGGGCATCTTCTCCAGGAGATAGAAAGGAGGTGCCGGAGGGGACGGAGATTGGACTGCAGGTGTGGTCCAGCAGGGCCAGCTACCTAACCCTTCAGCCAGGCCTCCGAAGACCTAGCTGTTTGTCCTTCCTCACCAGAGCTTCTGTGGCAGTGTGGCTGAGCTGGGGCAGGGCATGAGGAGGAGGACCAGACTGCTCTGCTAGAGAGGGCGTGGTCTGTGCCGCTGATGAATAATTGATGGAAAGCCTGCTGGGAAGGGGGGCCCTTGCCAGGGAGGAGGAGAGCCAAAGACTGTCTGACACTGGCTCCAGCAGGATGAGGGTTTTGGGCTCTTTGTACCCTCTCTTCAGGTGAGGTGATGCCCACTCCTCTCACTGGCAGGATGACCTCAGTTGCTGCCCTCTTCCAGGACACACATGCATACTCTCACCCTCCACAGCTCTCCAGCATGCCCCTCGGCGTCCCCACCCCAGTTCTGCCGGCTCCCTTCATTCTGACAGCTTGATGTAGCTCTTGTTCTGGGCTCTCCAAGCCTCAGGCCCCTCTGCATTAGACTCTAATTCCTCTCCACCCATAGTCACTCCAGTTGTTACATTGACAACCCCGGCCCCCATCTTCCAGCCTACTCAGCCTCTGTTTACTCTTAGTATTTCTTTGATACTTAGTTACCTTCCCATCATCCACTTCAACTTACTTTGTTACTTCCTGAGCCTCCATTACCCCTTGTCATTCCCTTGACCCACAGCTCCGTCCAGCTAGTCTCTAACTCCCATTCTCCCCTAACCTACAGCTCTATTTTAGGTCGCCATCCCTCCTGGGAGAACAACACACTTAGGTCTCATTCCCTCCCCTCCCCCCATTTTCTGTGGCTTGTAGGGCAGCCCAGGTTCCATTAGCAGATATTTCTCACTGACCACAGACTCATTTCTGACCAGTTCCCAGCACTGGGGGAGAGACTTTTGAAGCTGAAAGCTTGCTGACAGAACACTACCATGCCCTCCACAGTCCACAGCTTGCCCTCCCCCCTAAAAAAAACAAAAAAAGCAAACAAAACAAAACCAGTTTAGAAGGGGAATGTGAGAGGCTGTCCTCAGGAGGGTGGAGGGAACTGTGACCCGTGTGGAGACAGAAGGTCCTGGGGCAGGTGAACAGTGTTGGGAACCAACCTGAAAGCTCCCCCCAACCCCTAGCATCCCGTGCTCCTCAGAACTGAGGCTCCCTCTGCTTTCCATGGACCAATCCCTACCCACAGGCCCCTGGCCCCTCTGTGCGCTCTGGTCACCCAGGGCCTCTGATTGAGGAACTTGAGCCAGCAGCCAAGTCTCTAGGGCCAAGAAGGTGACCTAGGAAGGGAAGGGAGGAAAGAAAAGGGAGGAAAGGAAAGGGAGGGAGGGGAGGGGAAGGGAGGGGAGGGGAGGGGAGGGGAGGAGCAAAGCAGATTAACCCTTTCTCAGCAGGGCCAGAAGTAGGTCTAGGTTGAACAAGTCTACCAGGGCCTTCCTATCCCTTACCCTTTGTAAGCCTGGGATGTGTTGAGTGAGGAGGGGCAGGATGCTGGGTTCTAGAAGAGCTGACAGCTGTGCAGCTTTCGGCCTTACTCAGCTTTACCTCTAGAGACACGGAGCCCCAGAAGAGGAGAAAGCCGAGAGGTCTAACCCCTCTCCAGGCCCCCATGCCCCTTAGACACATCTCAGTTCTTCTTCCCTCTGAACGACGGTCTCCCAACTCAGCCTCCCCATATCCGTGCCTTCAGTTCAGTTATTCCATCCTGCCCATTTCCTGCTGAAAACTCCTCAGTGTTTTGTGGTAAAGCTTATTCCGAGCACCCTCATTACTGACACCACCCCCACCCCCCTTCAGCCCAGCATCCAGCCACCAAAACCTCCCAGGGGCACCAGGCTCGCCCACAGGTGCACCAGGCTCACCCACAGCCCAGGACTCTGGTCAGCTCCGGCTCATTTTTTCCCTCATGTCTTTGATTCTGTTTATTATTACTGTGCGTGTGAGTTGCTGGTCAGAAGACAACTTTCAGGAATTGCCTTTCTTTTTTTACATTGGGCTCTCAGAACCAAACTCATACCTGGAGCTGGCCATAGTGACTTGGGTCCCTGCTTTTGCCTGCTGAGTCAACTTGCTGGCCTTCTGATGCTGATATTATTGTTATTATTATTATGACTATTATCATCATAGTCTCACTCTGAAGCCCAGGCTGGCCTGGTATTTATCATGTCAATCAGGCTAGCCTGGAGCTCACAGAAATCCATTTGCCTCTGCCTCCCATATGCTAAGATTAAAGGTACACCACCATGCCCGATCCCTCTGATCATTTTTAAAAATTGATTATTTTAATTTATATCTGTGGGTATTTTGTCTGCATGTGTGATTTGCGCGCCAGTGTGTGTAACACTAAGAAGGTCTACACTCAGGGTGTTGGATCTCTTGGAACAGGAGTCCCAGACCACCGGAAGCTAGTTGAGAGCTGCTACGTGGGTGCTGAGAAGGGGCCAAGCATCCTCTGGGAGAGCAGTGGCACTCCTCAGTGCTGAGCCATCTCTCCAGCCCAGCCCTCTGATCTTCCCAAGGAGACAGGCTCTCACTGTGTTGCTGTCCTAAGCCCTGGGCTCCAGTCCTCTTTAGGCCTCACCTCCCAAGCAGCTGGGTTTGTAAGCCC